TTTATAGTCAAACCTAACACTTCCAGAAAAGCTTAGCTCTCATGTTGATACCAAAATAAATGCCCAGAATGAAACTCGTTAACAGCCTTAGCCTCTTTTCTATGTGCTTTCCTGGATATCTGTCCCAAGGTGTACACATATACAACAGGGATGTCCCATGAGGTCGACACAGACAAGTTCAGCCTGAGGAAAGAAATTTTGATCATCCAGTCTGGGGTTACCCTGCATGTTTCTGTTCCCTGGATTTGCCGTTCCTGTGGGAAATGCAATATCCTCACAGAGAATCATTGCATGAAGGAGGTCTCCTGAGAAAGTGCCAGTAAAGAGAACTCATCTCTCTGTAACACGGTGTCGTAAACACCTACTAACAGCAGCATGTGTTGCAGATCACCGCCCTTCTTTCCGTTACCCTATGCCTTGGGAAGGAGTCAAGAGCTGGCCAGACCAAAGAACACATGCACAGCGTATGAGCCGGCTGCTGTCCTAACATACATCGTAGGTGCAGGGCGCCGCGAAGCCAAGGGGCAGCCATGTCAACCCGCAGAAAGCAATGTAACAGAGGAAGGGAGAAAGGCGATTGAGCTAACATGTGTTGGGGAAGGGCTTTGTTTTGCTGGTTTTCTCACTGGTCTGTAATGAGTCAGTAGTATGGAGGTACTTGTCATATTCTGGCAGTAAAAGTTGCTATAAGGCAACGCAGTGCTGGTCTGGAGGCTGGAGCTGAAGGAATTGCAAAGCAACAAAGAAGCTCATGGTCCCATGGGCTCACATCATTGGAGAGATCTTGGGTTTTACCTTCTTTTGCAGAGGAGGTCTTCTTAACTACAGGGTGGTTGTGGCGCAAGAATTATTTCTCTGCTGGGTGTTGTTTGTACTGTAGCAATGGCAAAAGTTAATCTGGCCCAGCAGCAAGCTGCTGCTGACCATTTGAACTCAGAGGACTCTTTGCACTCCTAAAGCATCCCAAAGCTCTCTTCTACACTGAGAGGAGAGCTAAGGCTTCACGGCTCACTCACACTCTAGTGCTTTGCTTGAAATCTTCACCAAGGGGACTCGTTTATTTGGGCTAGTGTATTTTTTAGGATTGTCCGTCAGACTTGAGGGTGATCCAAGCTTACCACCCACAAGCCACTGAAAGGTGCCAACAGATCCTAGCCACTGCCAACATGGTCCATTTGCAGATGCTTGGCAGAAATTTCGAATTGCTGTTCCATTTTCCCTTCTGGGTAACAGAGAGCAGGGACATCAGAAAAGCCTGTTGGAGGGTCCCAGGCCAGTTATCTACTGCAGGGAGTGGGGCTGTGCACGGAAGGAAGGAGGTGGCTCTGCCTTGTGCTGTCTCTCTGCAGAGTGTCTCCTCCCGTACTTGCTTTTGATGATGAGTGCCCATCTCAGACTGGCTGGCGCACTGGATTATCTGTCTTGGATTTAGTGCGTCCTACCCATCTGAAAAGTAGGGAGTGGTTTTTCTTCCTGTCATCCCCGAACGGAGGACGCTCGCTGCCTGTCTGTCTGCAGCCTGCAGCAGGCGTCGGAGATTAGCAGCCATTCGAGAGAGGCCACTGCTGTGAGCCAAAAGGGTTTGTAAGGGAAAAAGAAAGGGTCGAGGAGAAGCAGGGCGAAAGAGAAATGAGAGAGACATGCACACATCAAGCAACTAGACCCAAACCAGCCTGGCAGCCCCATCCCTAGAAACCAAGGCTTTGAAATGAGAAATGTTTTTCGTATCTTAAATCTCAAGTACAAACAATAAAAACCAGCCCAGACTGTGTTCTTTGAAGAGAAAGTACGAGTGACCTGAACAGTGGTTATCAGCAGCGTCATTAAGATAAACCCTTAACATGATTTAAAGCATCCGAAACTGAAGGCAGCACTTTCAGATACTAACAAAATGGTCTGACATTGGGGATGAAAATCAATAGTAATCTGATGTCACTAAAAATACTCAAAAGTGTCCCATGGCTGATGGAGGTGAGATTAGTGTAAATATTTGTATTCTAATCAGTGGCACGCGAGGGCTGGAGGCGGCCTTTCTGTCTATTTAATTAATGGAGTGGCTTTTTAAAAGGATCCTAATCATATGTGATTGTATCTGCTTATCAACATTTTTGCTAATTAGATGATATGGAGGCAGTCACTCTGCTAATTCCCTCATCCAAACAGCATATCCTGCACAGATAAAGTACAGTCTCTTTTTAATAAGAAACAATCATGAGACAGACTAACCTTAATGGTGCTTATTATCCCAGGATCTTTGGGATTTTCTTTTCTGCCCATCCCCTCCTTGCTTTTCCTTCATTCACTGCTTAGTATGCCAGATGGATGTAGATATAGCAGTCCCTGTCCCCCCTGCTCTCCCACCCCAGGCACCCTCACATCCAGCCTGCTCTTCCTTCCCAGCCAGGCATTGGGTCTGGAAGGGCAGGAGTTGTCAGCCAGATCAGGATGGGAAGCAAAACACAAGACACCAAGCAGCAGAATGCCCCAAGCTTTTGGTCACCCAGACCGCAGGTGACCCCAAACTTGCAGCCCCAATCCCTGACCTTGCTCTTGGCACCCCAGTGTGCCCTGGTCCAGACAGGAGTGAGCATCTCTGAGTTGTGAAAACTTTCTTCTGTTATTATCATTATTAGATTGGATATTAGGAAAAATTTCTTCACTGAAAGGGTTATCAAGCATTGGAACAGGCCGCCCAGGGAAGTGGTTGAGTCACCATCCCTGGAGGTATTTAAAAGATGTGTAGACGTGGTGTTTAGGGACATGGTTTAGTGGTGGACTTGGCAGTGTTAGGTTAATGGTTGAACTCAATGATCTTAAAGGTCTTTTCCAACCTGAATAATTATTATTAATGTCATTGTTGTTATTATTATTGTTATTTTTATTGTTATTATTTCTTCTGTTTTAAAAGGGTCTGAGGGCAGAGGGGGTCTGCATGAGTGGTTTCTCACCAGCCCTGTTGATCCTGTGACAAGGCCAGGGTCCTTTTATCTAAATCAACATGAGTTGGAGACATTTGTTCCAAGTCCTTTGACTATCTAAACAAACACAAGTTGTGCTTCGCTCCACCGGTCAAACTGTCATCGGATGCCTCCCCCTGGGGCCAGCCCTGTCAGAGGGGACACTGCACTCACTGCCCAAGCTGTGTTCCTGGGGAGTACGGCCAGGGATGGGTGCCTTGGGCTGACCTCCTGCTGCAGGGAACCAGAGGGACCTGCCTGACTTTAGAAGAAGAATGAAAAATAAACAGAAAATTTGCCCCGAATAACGTCTCCTCACCTCTCAAAATAAAACGGCAACATCTTAATAAGGAGAACCTGTCCTACACGGGTGTATCTTTCACCCCGAGAGCATCTGGGTGGACCAGAGAAGAGAGGGGGTAGATGCCTGGCGTTTAGTTTTGGGAGGTCAGGAGTTTGCCTGCTGGTTTTGCAGCTGTGAATGTTGAGCAGAAAAAGTTTAAATGACATGGATTCTCACCTCCACAGGCAAGAGGCACAGTTGATGTGTCCTGTGCATTAAACTCATGTGTCGGGCTCAGCACGGAGGTCTGCTGTGGGATGGGAGATGGGGTGGCTCTGGGGAGCACTGGCTAGGAGGGACTCCAGAGGCTGGAGAAAGCTGAATGAGGATCCAAAGAGCTGGGACTGTATCTGGCTTTTCTGAGCCTCAAACTAGGGCTTGAGACTAAATCAAGTTTCAGGCAAGAAGATACCAGCTTCCAGGTGGTAACAAGAGGCAGGAAACTCACACAACCACCCTTTTTTGAGGTATGAAGCCAAAGAGGAGGCTTCATCATGCTTAGTGGAGTCAAAGAAGGGGCCTGACGTGTTTTTTTATGTTAGATTATGCCCTGTGTCCAGGGCAAGGCCTTGTTCCAATCTTGGAAAGCCCAAACGGTGTTGCGAGTTGTGTTCATGGACTCTCACCCCAGCAGAATTCAGAGCACTTTGGGTCATCTCCATGTCACCTGCACTATCCTCATCCACGTATGGCTACGCTGAGGTTGTACTCTGCAACACGGTTGGCTGATCCTTCTACTGTTTCTCCTTTTTGTCATGGTCCGTGACCCTGCTTCCTCTCCGTGCTACGCACAGGAATTAATTCAATATTGACCTCTTTCCCAGAGCCGCTTCCC